CTAACATAAACGAACTCTAAAGAATTTTGTCGATATCACGTGATCGAAAAAATTTTGGTGGCGATGCTGGGGAAGATGTGATTAGCAAATAAAATCACGAGATGATCAACAAAATCTAACCAATTACAATGAATGTTCGCTATGCTCTCCATATATATTTGCATACTATGCTATTGGTGTTCAAGTCACATTGGTTATTTTGTATAAGCCTGAAAATAAGAAGAGAAAACTGAACGTTTGTTCTGAAAAAATTGCAGAATTTGATTTAGGACGTTTGTCGGATAGAATTCGCATCATGAATTTCCTTCGAAATATTTGTAAGTACCTTTATGAGCTTTAAATTATCATAAATCATAAAACACTAATTCATTATATGGTTATTTAGGTCGTCTATTACCTCTTATTGCGAATTTATGCCCTCCGAGGGAATCGCCAGAATTTCAAACAATTTTTCGACCAAGTGGAACTGTTATTGAACTTGGATATACAATTAAAAAAAAATTTGCGGACGAAAGGCGAGTTACTCATTTAAAAGAAATTTATGGAATGCTAAGCGTAAGTTCGAAAATTTCAAGAATTTTACCTTTTTTGGATACATTCTAACTATTTGTCTAGGCAAATAATATTAGATTTTCCGACAAATTAGAATATGCATCTACACATTCTGTTAATTTGGCACCACGTGGGGAACAACGTGAACCAAATGATCTCAAAGAATTACTGCAGGCATTAATTTGTACACTAACTTGTTTGAAGGTAGAGTTTGCAATATTTTCACTATTACGCCAATATCTGCAGATTCTTGATAATATTCGAATGCTTTATATTTATTTTTTTCAACTCCTATCCCATTTTCATAACAACGTCCAGCATTATATATTCCATCAGTATGCCCCATATCTGCGGATTTTTGATAATATTTGAATGGATTGCTTATATATTTTTCAACTCCTATTCCATTTTCATAACAACGTCCAACATTATATAATCCATCAGCATGTCCCATATCTGCGGATTTTTGATAATATTTGAACGCCTCATTTATATCTTTTTTAACTCCTACTCCATTTTCAAAACAACGCCCAAGATTATATAATTTTTGACAATATTCAGATGCCTTCGTTATATCTTTTTCAACTCCTATTCCATATTGATAACAACGTCCAACATTATATATTCCATCTATATGCCCGATATCTGTAGATTTTTGATAAAATTTGAATGCCTTCCTTATATCTTTTTCAACTCCTATTTAAAGCAGATATCCTGACATTTATACATAGAAACCATGATTGATAACAAACAGATTCCTTATGTTTTTTAATT